GCTTCACGTGCCTTATCGTTTTCTTTGAACTATGTTTGTTTCTATCTGTATGGCTTGAAGTATCTCTGCATGATTCCTCTCAATGAAATTATCTATCTTTATTGGCTTTACTAATTACTCTTTTGACCATGAATCTTTTATGTCAGACTATCTCTTTCGGGTTAAAGATGGAATTATGTCATAAAGCATTATCTCCTAATCGTCTCAAAAATGATAATGAATGCATGAATCAAATGCTAATTGGCTCTACAGGAACCATAGACTCTCCTAATGGTTAACCTTTGGATAAAACATTAATTCTCATCTCAAATTGCTATAAAAAGAGGACATTGGTTTTGCTCAAATGCATCCCTCTCCTCACCAATGGCCCCTAAAGTTTCAATCACCAAGAAAGTATCAAGAAGAACCCGAGCTCATCCAGAAGATGATGAACAAGGCAATCATAATCCCGAAAATAATCCTATTAATCCTCTGAATATTTCATCCGACTCGGAAAGTGAGGATTTTGATGAATTCATCAAAAGAGATGCTGATGGAGATGCCAGATCTTTTGATCCCAATGAGGAACCCCCTCTGATTGTTAGAAAGGGCTTTTTGACACTGGAATCCTGGAACGATCTCACTATGGACAGAGATCTTAGGGACTTCTATCGACATTATGATTGCAAATCTGAACTTGTGGGGTATATTGAAGGAGAATCTGATGAGGAAATGCATCCTGACGGTGGACCATCGCGTCCAAAAGTTCCTACATCAAAGAAAGGTTCTAAGGTCACCAAGGGCGAAACCAGTAACACGAAGAAAGGAAAGGGAAATAAATGAAAGTTTCATTGTTATGTGTTCAATTATCATCCTTGAATTATGTATTTTTGTTCATCTATGTCTCGTGTTTTTTTAATTAATGAAGATTTTCTGGCATAGATCTCTGACTGTCTGATATTTGCATACCTTGGAATCATCTCACTGACCCTGAAATTATGATATTCTTGAAAATATCCATTCAAAGTCTTCTACGCCATTAATGGTTAGTTGAAGAAATACATGGTTATTAATTACAGCATTGAATGCTGTGGGTAGTTTCACATCGATTCCTCCTCATGATCTACCTATGAAAAGGGGACATATCTCACTCTTCTCTACCATCATCATCCTCACAAATGGCTCCCAAAAAGCCTTTTACAAGGGGAGATTCTCACAAACAAAGAGAACTCGCCAGGAAAATAAGAGAAGAACAGGGAGACATGTATCCAAGCAATAGCCTTCAAGCACCATTAGTGATCTCATCTGATATTGAAACATCATCTTTGTATGATGAAATGGCTGGCTTCATTGTCGAGGAGCCCGAGGAAGCCCCCCCTGAAGAGGAAGTTCCTCAACAAAAAACGAGTCCTGCTGCTACGCCTAACAAGTATCATGACGAAGATTATGTCAAATATCTAAATGAAGAGATCAAATCTGAGAGTAAGGAAGAACCCACTTCGTCTACGGACTCTAACTTTCTGCGTACCGGAAATTGGTACAAAAGAATGTGGGCAGAACTCAAGAAGCCGAAAGCTGAGACTCATGAGGAGAAGGCAAACGAGAGGAAGAAAAACTAATCTTGTGGATTATGTATTTTATTTTCTGTATCTGTCTCTCTCGTTTGGTTGAATAATAAAATCCTGGTTTCAATGTTTTGAGCTTAATCTTAATCATGTGATGAACGAAACTTTATTTGTTTCTGTTCACACCTACAATGGAATCTCTATGACAGGACTCTATTTCTTGGAAATACATATATTCCTTCACGCGTGTTATTCGTGTTCATGGCTAGTCATTCGGATCACATCTTTTGATAAAATCTTACACTCTTTATAAGGGACTCTCTCGGGAAATATGGTTTCACACTTCTCAACTGATATCACCATGGACAAGGGAAAAGCAATGGTTCTCACAACCGATAGTCTGTCTAGAAAAGATAAATCCAAGAATGCTTCTCGCCATGAACCAGAGAAGTCATTGCTGGAGGGTTCATCTTCAGTTGATGGATCACCAAGGTCTCAAGCCTATCTGAGTTCCTCACGCTTGTAAAGCTTGCGCCTCAACTCAAAAATGATGACAAGTACATGGATACTTATGCTGCTGCTGAGGCTCGAGTAAAGGCCGAACTTGATGACATGGAAAGACGAGGTCTTTCAAGAGATGCTATGGGCACCGATCATGAGAAAATCGTGGAAGAAGTATTCGCTCTTGAGGTTTGCAAAAAGGAATACCTTGATTATGTCCAGAACGCCAAGAAGTAAAAACTAGTGCTACCATGAACAACGAGATGTAGTGACAGTGCTCAAAATCCTTGTTTCGTGTAATAAGACATCTCTCGAGCTATCTCATAAAGTTTCGTTGTATGTTGTGTTCATTAGACTTTATTTGTCTAATGGATCTTTCGTCTAGTAATGTTCATCTTGTTTCGGTTTTCAGTCGTACTTAAGAAGCTTCAAAATATATGAATCATCTGAACCGTTAACACGTTTCATCATGGGGATCGTGTGGCCAAGAAAAGTGGTCCACTGCCCCACGATCTCTGACAATTGAACTGATGTGCATTTAATGCATACGCAGGCACTTGAGTGGATTTCTCTCTCCACATTTATTATGGAATGATCAAAACTGATCTGAGCATGATCTTATCATACTCCAATAGCCATATCAATTACGATTTTGACGCATTGAACCGATTGAAGTTTTGAAATTCAAAATACCCATTGTCGAAATGGGTCACCCGTATTTGGTTACCCGGATTTGAAAACCCTACATAAACCTTCTTCATACCAACCCTCATCTCTTTTATGCACCCTCCATTTTAAATTTGCCTTAACACCTACATCACACTCAAACCTTCTCAAATGGCAAACTCACCAAAAACCACCACCTCCGAAGTAGAACCTGAAGTGCCTATTACAATGGAGATACCATCCTTTCCCACAGATGACATCGCCTTTATTGAATCTCGGATTCCCTTTATAGCCGGAGGCAGCATGTGGGATACGCATGGCTTCCTGAAGTATGTCATCGATCGAAACTTTGGTGAAAAAATCATCAGTCGGCTTCAGGAGACTGGTTTGTATAAGTTTGCTGTACGTCTGTATTCACTTTGGTCTCCTACGGATGTTGCACAATTCTACTTGAATGCTTCTGTCTCCACGGACTCTCTCACTATAACATCCAGGGTCAACGATCAAGCAGTAACGATTACCGCAGAGGATATTAGGGCTGCCTATGAATTTCCTCAGAGAGATGAGTCCTACAAATCCAATCTTGCCTTCTATCACTATGATCAGGATGATTTTTATGCCTCCATAAAAAACAAGCAAGCCCCTACTACAATCAGATGGCCTTTGAAAAAGAAGTGGTTTCATTTGGATTATAAGTTCACGGTGGACATCTTCAACAAGCTTGTAGACCATAAAACATCGGGGACAGACGATGTGACGAAAGAGAAGCTCAAAATGCTGCACGCATTTCTCCATGATCACAAGGTGGACTGGTAAAAAATTATCTTCAATAACCTCATACATGTCATCACTTTTAATAGAAAAAGCCCTGGAGATATTACGAAGAAGGTAGGCTACGGATTCATGGTTAGTCATTTCCTCTCTACTAAAGGGATCCCTATGAGACCAGGAATCAGGCCTGGGCCTAAGGCATGTCATATGCAGCACAAGCCCACTGGCTATGATAAGCAAAAAGCTTTGGAGCTGGACATACCTTTGGAAATGGTCAAAGCTAAACGAAAGTCTAAGAAGGCGAAAGAATCCGAAGATGATCAGCCTAAGCCGTAACGACAGAAGAGGGAGAAAAGCATGCTTCGTGTTGAGACGAAAGCAGATGTTGTTGAGAATCTGTCTCCTGCTCAAAAAGCGAATCCAGAGGACACGTCAACTCCAACTCCACCAGTTCAACCCGTAGATCAGATAATCGTGGAACACTCTTCTGACGATGACAATATTGCTCTCTCGGCTCTTGGTAAAAAAGGACGGTTAAAGTCTCCTGAAAAATTGAGCACCTCTCCATCAGCGAAGGTAGATAAAATGAAGGAAGCACCTACCCAAGGGGAAGATAAGCCGAATGGAGTCTCTTCCCGAAAAGAAGACAAGGAGAAAGAAGTAACTACTGAGGGGGAAGATAAGCCGAAAGAAAGGGAAGACAAGGCGAAAGAAAAATCTTTTCAGGGGGAAGATATGTCCAAAGATGAGAACCCGAAAATAGCTTCCTCCGAGAAGAAGTCTAAGGCATCGTCATCCAGACGAAAGGCAAATTCCAAACCATCCAGGAAACGAAAACACATATCCTCTTCAGAACCTCAAGATCCAATCTCCCCGAAAAGCCTCCAGCCACAAGAACCCATTTCAGCAGAGTGAAATTCTCCTCGTTCGACACAAGAACCTGCTGTCATAGAAAAGGAGGTCGATCACTTAAGTCTCCCACAAGAACCTGGCTTGCCAGCAGAGACGAGAGAAGTGATTGTCCACACGAATGTTGCTGCTGTTCATCATACCGAAAGCATCCTCCCACAAGAACCTACCTTTGCAGAGCAGGTACCAGATACTCTGACACAAGAACCTGCATTGGTAGTTGAGGACAATCGAGAGATCCCAGATCCAAAAGTAGTGATCACACCACCGGTTGTTGCACCTATTCCTCCATCTCCAGATCAATTGCTTCGTGAAGCTATAGAGGCTGACTACAATCGAGTCATGCAATGGCACAAGTGGCGCACAGCCGATATCGATACAATGCTTGCAACAGCCGAGGCAATGAAGGAAGAAGAGAAGTTTGCCCTAGAGTGGGTTGGCACAAAAGATGTCTATGAAGCACTCCGTCTTGAAACAATTCGACGAGTGTACTCATATAAAGTAACCAACCGCATGCTGGGAAAAGATAAGGCACCCTTATGCATCGAGCTTAATAAGCATCCATTGGACCCAGTATTTGAAGCAGAAATGAAGGAGCTTCATTAAGAAATGCTCCTGTCCAAAATCAAGACTGCCTTAGAGAAATCACACCAGAACGATCCCAATTGTGAAGTCAGTGGATCGAAGGACGAGAATGGCAAAGAAATAAGTGATGAATCTGATAAGGAGAAGGAAGATGAAGAAGATGCAAACTCTGATGACGCTGATGCAGATGATGAGAATGATGATGATGACGATGATGGTAATGATGACAATCAGAATGGGGGTAACACGAACCATCCTCATCAGGACCATAATGCCTCCAATCCCGAAGAATCATCATCACACAACTCTCCCTCCCGAAGTGATGACAAAAGGGAAGCATCACTCAAGGATGACAATACTTCACACACCCAACCTGAAGACTTATCTCGAGCTCTCGTCTCTCATGTTCAACCAATGGACGAAACTCCTATCAAGAGAGAAGATGAAATCTCTCGTGAGGACAAAATGGATGCCTCACCTGTCTTCATAAGCTCAGCAAGTGGTGGAAAAATGGAAGCACCATCTCAAGCGGAACAAATGGACACCTCTCCAACAAATATTGAAGAAGAATCTCCGCCGGTTTCTCCACATCATGTCATGAATCTTATGAGAGAAACTGTTCACACAGCTGAAATGATCCACCGCGAATACCTGACGCTTCGCCAAAAGGACACTCAAATCTTGGAGGACTTATCTAAGAAAGTGGATCACCTGATGGCCGCTCAAGCTCAGTCTCGTCCTCCACCGCAAGAACAACCCCAACCACCACCACAGGCTCCACCCGAACAGCATTCTAATATCCACCTAGCAAAGGAACTTCATGAACTTCATGCATCTGTCGACAAGGTGGCCAAGCAACAACACGAACTCAAACACTCACATTTTAGCCTCAAAGGGCATGTTGATTTGGCTTGCACAAAGATGGAGACTGCACATGACAATGCTTTTCAAATGGGTCAGTATCTATATCAAATTCTCGGATATGTGCAGGATACACTGATTGCAGTCAACAAGTTGTCCACCCCTCCTTCTACTTGTGCCGATGATGCCAAAAAAGGGGGAAAAGAGGAACCCTGATGATAAGGATGATGATCATCCTAAGGACAACACGAGAAATCGCTCTCCATCTGTTGCACAGAAAGATTCTGAAAGAAGAAGCACGAACCCTCAGCCTCCACCTACCCGAGATCATCAATCCTCTCAGTCAAGATATCACTCATCTCGTAGTCGTGGTCATCAACAGTCACAGTCTCAACACCTCTCTATTAAGCCTCGCCAATCACTTGGATCTGAGTCCAAATACATCTTCACTGGTTTGTCAAGGAGACAAAAGACGAGTCTAAGACAAAGGCTCATGAAAGATAGGAAGGTAACAATGGATGGCGTGGGAAACTTTGTGGATTTCATACCATATGAAGAAGGGAGTGGGAAACGATTTGAATGTTACAACGTTCCTGTGTGGATGAAGACAAAGGACAACCACACAAGACAATTTCATATAAGCACTCAGAATGAAAGGATAAAAAGGGTGAATAGAGAGCTGTGGGAAAAACATGATGAAGAAGTTCGTAGAAGAGAAGAAGAACTTCATGAAAGGGAGCGGGTAAAAGAACTGATCAAAGATCTCACGAAAGTAACCCGAAGCTCTGAGCAAGGAGTTATCTACAATGCAGCTTTCAAAATACATGCCGAATCAGGAAAAAGCTACACAGAGGGAATGAATACTTTCGAGCTTATCTCGTGGTGGAAGTTAGGAATTGTCGAAGGGGCAAACATTCTTGAAGCCTATAACAACTACATAAGCGTCAACATAAAAGGAAAATACGAAGATCTGATTAGGGAGAATCAAATCAAAGTCTTCAGAAAACGAATCAATGAGGAGATTGACATCGACAAAATGCTCAAGGAGCAGAAGGAGAGAGACACTTGTGAAAGATTGGAGGCCAAGCAGCAAAAGACTAAACTTTTGGAAATGTAAGAAATTTATTTTCTGTCCATCTTGAATTTCTTGTAATTTTCTCTATCTTAATATGAAACTCTCGTTGTTACACATCTCGTATCACTTGTCTGAGTTACTTGTCAGTGACTTGTTTGTTATTGCTATTTATCTAGAAATGACTTGTAAACTCTCAGTAATGGCTATTTTGAAATAAAGAATCCTTTTTGGGACTTTTATCAGCTTTATAAGAAGAGTATAGGTTTTGGCATCATCAAAAAGGGGGAAATTGTTAGGAACACTTGTATTAGGATTTTGATGATACCAATGTAACCTAGAATGTAGACCCCTAACCTTTGTTATTTGTTAATCGCTACTTTCGTCCTAGACGAGAGTTGCCATAACTCACACTGTAGTTCGTGTTAAGCTAGTCAAACACACGAAAACGAGTTATGCTTAGACGTTAGGGCTATCAAGACGAAAGAAGGTTCAAGACACGAAGCATGAAGCGTCCACAACGAAAGTTAATCGGGAGTTGCCATCTATCACGAAGAGACAGTCTTATTTATGACAACCCTTCAAGACATTCTTCGTCTTCAATAACAAGAAGAATGTCTTCACTGTCTGATTTGACAACATCCTAGGAACAAAAATAACCTCAACATATGGGACACGCATACCAATGAGCATTAAATGAAGTTGTACTATTCTGGAGCTAAAAGACAAAACCCTAAGGCTATCTATGCCATCAACGGCTACAAGGTACAAAACCCATTAATGGAGCATTTAATGCGGGAAGCTCCCAGGTCCTTACCCACTGGATATTAGGTTTGAAAATTTCATCTCCCTCCAACGGCCTCACCTATATAAACCCACCTTCATCAACTAAGAAGGTGCTGGTTCTTTTCACTCGATCTAACCTCTAAGCAAAAGCTCTTAAAACTTCTAAGTTCTCATCAAGCTTTTGCGAACCAGTGTTAAGGTGTTAAGATATTTTAAGAAGTCCATTGATCCCCATCTTACACCTTGAAGAAGCCTTGCAACTTGTACGAAGCAACCATCTTTCATCAGTCAAGACTTCATCACGTTGGAGAAATCAGAATTCTTTTTCTACCAACCTCAACTCTGAAGAAGAAGTTGATAGAGGCGGAGTAAACTCGTGGAGTTGAAAAACCTGCAGGAAGCTGTCCAGCTTAGTGATCAAGGAAGCCTCTTGTGTATTTGTACTAACGAGTGATAGTGCAAACCTTCCATAAGTTGTGGAAGAAGAGTGGAGTAGGCAAAGTTGGCCGAACCACTATAAAATCTCTCGTCTCCTTATCTCTCTATTTACTTTATCTATTTTCTGCATCATATTATCTTCCACACTCAATCCGAAAGTTTCCCTAATAACGTCAAAACCGTGCAAAGCAAGTAAACGAATTTAATATTTCCGCTACGCCAAAACACCGAAAGGTTGGTTTTCGGCAAAACACGAAAAGAGTCTATGCACCCACCCCCCTCTAGACTCTCGCTATAACTCTATCGGGACCAACAGTACGTGAGTTTTGGACTTATATATATATATATATATATATATATATATATATATATATATATATATATATATATATATATATAATTCAAAATTTATTCAAAATTTTAAGGAATTTGAATTGTGTAACATAGATGTCACCGCTTGTTGGAGAGGAGGGGATACAAATTAAAATTCCAAAATGAGTTTTGTAAGCTTGAACTTGTCTGCATCTAGGTGTGCTGAATGTTTGTCCAAAAAGGCTAATTTTAGTAGTATCTAACTCCAATTTTATTTCAGATTAAAGTGAGGGTTACAAATTTCAATTTTTGAATATCATTATTGCTAATTACAAAAGTTTTTGAATTATATGCATTAATTCTACAAATATAAATATATAATATGAGTGAGTGAGTGACATAAATAAATATAATTAATATATTACATTGAATCATATGCATTAAACCTGAAAACAATTGTGGGTCTTGAATGCATGAGATTTCTAGAAGGTTTTTACTCGATTTTAACTAAATTACTTATCCGGATTAGGGACTGAATCATATACAGTGATGGTTAGTAAATAAATGAAAAAGCAAAGAGAAAGCACGAAACATGCAGCAATCGTTTATGCAGTTCGGAGCAAAAACTTCTACGTCTGCCGGACAACTCACGTCAACCCAATCTACTAGATAATCACCAAAGATTACTGAGGTAATTCTTAATCATACAACCTATGGCATTAACCAATTACTCGAGCACAACCTTCATCATCTACTTGGTTGGGTACATGCAAGACAAACTGTTCAAGCAACTAAACACCAAGAATACAATCCATGACAATCATGAAGTACTGTTAAAACACTCAAAATATAATGAGTAATAGCGTAAAAGACTTGAGGCAATAATCAATAAGTTTATCCAACTTCTTTCTCATTTCGTGAAACCCATACGCCCCTTTTATAATAATAACCCTCCAACCAACTTGTCTGAATGAATGCAGCTTAAAGTCCTCAAAATAAGCTGCTCCAGCCAATTCAAATTTCTGCCTAAAAAGAGGTTCTAAAAACCAAAATTCGGTAAGAGAAAACACACCCACTCTGAAACACGTCCTGACTTAGGTACAGACAGTTATATAGTAGATCTAGGCTTAAATCAGAACCTAATACAGTCTAATAAAATAACCTAAGTTTTGATAAATAATTTAATCAGTCTAAAAAGAGTAAAATGTATATTATTTGTACACTTACAAATATATGTGAAAGTAATATTATCGAAGGTGGACCAACTAATGTTAATATCTCAAAATGACCGTTTAAAATCTCAATTTATACTAATTTTTTTAACAAAAATTGTCAGATTAAAAAAATGTGAATAAAATTATTACAAGACATCAATGTTTAATATTGGGACATGGGAAGTTGACAAGCTACAAATATAATATGAATGAGTGACATAATAAATATAACATATTACATCGGTTACTTGTATAGAATCTTTTTATATACAAATGTCTTGTACCAATTTGCATCATCTAGCATTATTTTATATGTTAAAATTAAAGTGTGACTTGAAGAGGCTTTGGGTTGATTGTATATTAGAATCTTATAAAATGAGTGAAACAATTAGTTGTGTATCTTTTTGACCACTTCTAACTAATTAAGCATATTTAAATTAATGAATCTCACATTTTTATATTAACCCAATCTAGAAACTACATCATATAAAATGTTGGATCCTCATTTTATATGAACTTTTAATTAAAATATGATAGATAATATATAATCACCAACTAGCCCAACTACCTGTCTCTCCACTCATATAAGTCCTATAATCTTATATTATACACAATGTAAGTATATTTAATTATACTTTTATTTATGGAAAAGCCCAAAAGTTTGCTTTGGGTGAAATCCGCTTTGTGAACCTAACCGACAAATGATTAGAAGAAGGTAAATCAGTTTAGATTGTTCATGGTTAACCGACTCAAACCAAGAAGGTTAATAGACAACTCCCATTAAGAATCAAACTTAAAACCTTGTGATTACTAAGTCAATTGGATGTCCAATCAATTTGGTTGGGGTGGGGTTGCCTCATATATTTAATTATACTATACTTTAAACAGTTGACAAAGTCAATTCCATTATTAGAATCATAAACCCTTTTCACATGTCAATTGTATCTATATTACAATCTTTCTGGATGTGAATCTTCACAGTTAGTCAAGGTCACTAATGAGTATTGCCTCATCTATAAGACCTGTTTGGCAAGTAGATGATCCAAGATTGACACCTAGCTAATTTGAAGCAGAAAATTCCATGGAAGATATATGTTGAGGCAAACAATTCCAATAGAATCTAATACAGATTGCAAGTCATGTTTACAATGGGAGTGGGTGGTTATGGGTGTTGTCTCATTAAACAATGCAAAGGCACTTTACTTTGTATTGAGTAGTCTTTACTACAACTTTTTGCAACCTTTTTCCTTATTACCAATAAAAGTTTTCAATGGTTTCATGAATTTTCACAACATCAAATCTCTCAATTATTTTTATTTTTTTTTTTAAATCAAATACTTCATTTCTTAATCAAGAATTGATTGTGTAAAGTAGTGTTTGGCGGAGACGCAGAA